TACGAATCTTGGGGTAAGATTTGGACATAAATTTCGACTAAAAAATCGGTGTCGAGATTTGAATGCCACATTAATCTAGAGGGAAAACTATAAAGAAAAAGCCAAACTTCGTGGAAATCGGATGAGATTTGACTGAGTTATGGGGGTGGTAATTTTTGACCCATGTCTATATACGAATCTTGGGGTAAGATTTGGACATGAATTTCGACCAAAAAATCGGTGTCGAGACTTGAATGCAAGATTAATCTATCTCCAACGAAATTATGTCGATTTTAGCGCGGCGGTATACGACGTTCCAAAACGACATAGCTCCGCGCGGAGATATCGCGGGTAAATAATGTCTGATTTTAAAATGTTATACCTTTTTGAATGCGTACGGATCCCTACCATCAATTGGCATTGATTTCGGTGCGAAAATCGAAACTTTTTCGATGATTATACCCTGAACCCATTAAAAATGGGTACAAGGGTATATTGTATTTGTACAAAATTCAAATGTATGTAACAGGCAGAAGGAAGCATCTCTGACCCCATAAAGTATATATATTCTTGATCAGCATCAATAGCCGAGTCGATCTAGCCATGTCCGTCTGTCCGCCCGTCCGTCCGTCCGTCCCTCCGTATGTATGAACGATTCGTATATAGACATGTATCAAAAATTACCACCCCCATATCTCGGCCAAATCTAATCCGATTTCCACGAAGTTTGGCTTTTTCTTTATAGTTTTCCCTTTAGATTAATTTGGCATTCAAATCTCGACACCGATTTTTTGGTCGAAATTCATGTCCAAATCTTACCCCAAGATTCGTATATAGACATGGGTCAAAAATTACCACCCCCATAACTCGGTCAAATCTCATCCGATTTCCACGAAGTTTGGATTTTTCTTCATGGTTTTCCGTCTAGATTAATCTGGCATTCAAATCTCGACACCGATTTTTTAGTCGAAATTCATGTCCAAATCTTACCCCAAGATTCGTATATAGACATGGGTCAAAAATTACCACCCCCATAACTCGGTCAAATCTCATCCGATTTCCACGAAGTTTGGCTTTTTCTTTATAGTTTTCCCTTTAGATTAATTTGGCATTCAAATCTCGTCACCGATTTTTTGGTCGAAATTCAAGTCCAAATCTTACCCCAAGATTCGTATATAGACATGGGTCAAAAATTACCAACTCCATAACTCGGTCAAATCTCATCCGATTTTCACGAAGTTTGGCGTTTTCTTCATGGTTTTCCCTCGAGATTAATCTGGCATTCAAATCTCGACACCGATTTTTTGGTCGAAATTCAAGTCCAAATCTTACCCCAAGATTCGTATATAGACATGGGTCAAAAATTACCACCCCCATAACTCGGTCAAATCTCATCCGATTTCCACGAAGTTTGCCTTTTTCTTCATGGTTTTCCCTCTAGATTAATCTGGCATTCTAGTCTGAACACAGATTTCGTTGGAGATATGACGTTTCGAAACGACATATCTCCAACGCGCTAAAATCGACATAACTCCGCGCGGAGATATGACGTTTTGAAACGACACATCTCCGCGCGGAGTTATGTCGATTTTAGCGCGGCGGAGATATGTCGTTTTGAAACGTCATATCTCCAACGAAATTATGTCGATTTTAGCGCGGCGGAGATATGTCGTTTGAAAACGTCATATCTCCGCGCGGAGTTATGTCGATTTTAGCGCGTTGGAGATATGTCGTTTTGAAACGTCATATCTCCAACGAAATTATGTCGATTTTAGCGCGGCGGAGATGTGTCGTTTGAAAACGTCATATCTCCGCGCGGAGTTATGTCGATTTTAGCGCGTTGGAGATATGTCGTTTTGAAACTTCATATCTCCAACGAAATTATGTCACTTTTAGCGCGGCGGAGATATGTCGTTTGAAAAGGTCATATCTCCGCGCGAAATTATGTCGATTTTAGCGCGCTGGAGATATGTCGTTTCGAAACGTCATATCTCCAACGAAATCTGTGTTCAGACTAGAATGCCAGATTAATCTAGAGGGAAAACCATGAAGAAAAAGGCAAACTTCGTGAAAATCGGATGAGATTTAACCGAGTTATGGGGGTGGTAATTTTTGACCCATGTCTATATACGAATCTTGGGGTAAGATTTGGACATGAATTTCGACTAAAAAATCGGTGTCGAGACTTGAATGCCAGATTAATCTAGAGGGAAAACCATGAAGAAAAAGGCAAACTTCGTGAAAATCGGATGAGTTTTGGCCGAGATATGGGGGTGGTCATTTTTGACCCATGTCTATATACGAATCTTGGGGTAAGATTTGGACATGAATTTCGACTAAAAAATCGGTGTCGAGATTTGAATGCCAGATTAGTCTAGACGGAAAACCGTGAAGAAAAATCCAAACTTCGTGGAAATCGGATGAGATTTGACCGAGTTATGGAGTTGGTAATTTTTGACCCATGTCTATATACGAATCTTGGGGTAAGATTTGGACTTGAATTTCGACCAAAAAATCGGTGACGAGATTTGAATGCCAAATTAATCTAAAGGGAAAACTATAAAGAAAAAGCCAAACTTCGTGGAAATCGGATGAGATTTGACCGAGTTATGGGGGTGGTAATTTTTGACCCATGTCTATATACGAATCTTGGGGTAAGATTTGGACATGAATTTCGACCAAAAAATCGGTGACGAGATTTGAATGCCAAATTAATCTAAAGGGAAAACTATAAAGAAAAAGCCAAACTTCGTGGAAATCTGATGAGATTTGACCGAGTTATGGGGGTGGTAATTTTTGACCCATGTCTATATACGAATCTTGGGGTAAGATTTGGACATGAATTTCGACCAAAAAATCGGTGACGAGATTTGAATGCCAAATTAATCTAAAGGGAAAACTATAAAGAAAAAGCCAAACTTCGTGGAAATCTGATGAGATTTGACCGAGTTATGGGGGTGGTAATTTTTGACCCATGTCTATATACGAATCTTGGGGTAAGATTTGGACATGAATTTCGACCAAAAAATCGGTGTCGAGATTTGAATGCCAAATTAATCTAAAGGGAAAACTATAAAGAAAAAGCCAAACTTCGTGGAAATCGGATGAGATTTGGCCGAGATATGGGGGTGGTCATTTTTGACCCATGTCTATATACGAATCTGGGGTAAGATTTGGACGTGAATTTCGACTAAAAAATCGGTGTCGAGATTTGAATGCAAGATTAATCTAAAGGGAAAACCATGAAGAAAAAGGCAAACTTCGTGAAAATCGGATGAGATTTGACCTCCAACTCTCCAACGCGCTAAAATCGACATAACTCCGCGCGGAGATATGACGTTTTCAAACGACACATCTCCGCCGCGCTAAAATCGACATAATTTCGCGCGGAGATATGACGTTTCAAAACGACATATCTCCGCCGCGCTAAAAAATATGTTGTCAATCCTCTCAAAAGCCAGCTGTGTTTACCAAGCCACTGACCAACTACAAGAATACCTGCACGAGTTTGAGACGTGAGCATCAAAGTGGCGAATTGCCATCAACAAGCAAAAATCGATATGCTGCACATTCGCGATCCGGAGAGATACCTCGCCAGGAGTATTCCTCCAAGGCGAACTTCTTGATCATAAAGACGGCCATCGCTACCTGGGAGTCTACCTTGATCGCAGGCTCACTTGGAGCAAACACATCGCAACAACATGCCACAGCGTACGTCAAAAACTAAAAAGTATGGCTTGGCTCCTTAAGGCAAGCAGCAAGCTTTCTCTGAGCAATAAGGTGCTGCTTTATAAAACCCTCCTGGCCCCAGTATGGCGCTATGCAAGTCAAATTTTCGGCACGGCAGCAAAATCTCACTTGAGGAAAATAAGTGTCTTCCAAGCGAAGGTACTCAGACTGAGTGCTGGGGCTCCCTGGTACATCCGCAACCGGGCCCTAGCAAGAGACCAAAAGGTCCCCTTGGTAGGCGACCTTCTACGTCAGCAGTCCACCAGCTACATGGCCCGTCTTTCTGCCCACCCCCAATATATTGGCTAGAAGACTCTTCAGAAGAAAGCGACGGAGACTTCGCAGAATCCACCCCATCGACCTCCCAAACCGGGTAATCACGTGAACAAAAAAAAAAAGTAATAATAATCATACTAAAAATATAAGATAAATTGAATAATTATAAAACTTAATAGGTAATATTAAGTATGTTTATACCATTATAGTCAAGCTAGGTTAGGATGCTCATGTATAGTATCAATAAACTAGCTAATAAAAGGAAAAGGAACAAAAAAATTCTGCCTGTTACATACATTTGAATTTTGCACAAATACAATATACCCTTATACCCATTTTTAATGACTGACTGACTGACTGACTGATTGACTGACTGACTGTTCATATATTTGACATGTTTGAACTATTTTATATTTATCACTTATTAGTGCGAGTTCTTAGGATTTACCATTTGGCCAACAAATATCAATTTGCCTACAAATCGGTCCCGTGACCCAAGCATTTGCTATGCAACAATGAAAGTATATTTATTGCAATCATTTTACATGGAAAAATTATATGAATCGGTTACGAAATTGAGTTCGTCTTGTGACGCATTTTTCTTCGGGGAATTTGCCATCACGCTGATTATTAAAAAAAAAAAACTTGTTAAATTAAAAGGTTGCGAATAAATTGTATTAATTGAGTTGTGCAATAAATTGCGGGGATTCCCACGGTGAAATCATTTAACCAAAGCGTGCGTCCTATATCAAAGCTTTCCAATCGATATTCAAAAGAATTATTTTGAGCAGTTGCCGGAAAATACGCATAGCACAATAAATGAATGGTTGCATGGATTGCTTGAATCGGTTGGGATTGCATCATGGAGACCGAGGGGCACGGCTTCCCCCACATTGTAATCAGTTGGCGCCTATGCAATCACTTATCAGCAGCGGCAGCATGATGTTTCACCAATTGACTGCGACGACCCCAGACACAGCATACGGTTTGACTAGTTGCACATATGTATATGTATGTATGTATATGTATGTGTGTGTGTGTGTGAGTGTGTGTTACATTCAATGAATGAGGAACTGCGTCAAGATGTCGTTTGTAGATTAGCGTGAATTGTTTCCTAGTTGCTCTGAGCATATTTCGCCGAGTCTTCGACTTTGGAATCGGGCTCCTTGATCAGCTCCTGGTCAGGCTTGGCCGCATCGATTATCTTCGCTGCATAGCTTACGCCCCGTTCAATGCTCTGACGCAGCTCGGGCAGCAACTTTTGGAAGGCCGCCTCCTCGTCGGCATTCAGGCTGGGCAGACCCAGATTCTTTTTGATGCCGTTGGGGCCCAGCTCCAGCGGCGTGGCCAAGAACGGCAGTTCCGTGGCATCGGACGCCACGTAGGCGCATTCGATCACACCCGGCTCGTCGTTCAGGCCACGCAGCAAGGCGTTGACGAAGTAGGCGGCGGCATAGGCCATCGAGAGAGTGGCGGAGCCCTTGCCTGCCTTGGCCATAAGCACCTCGGTGCCGGCCTCCTGTATGCGCTCCGTCAGCCGCTTCACGTCCTCTTCCTCGCCGGTGAATTTGGGCAAGCACTGCGAGAAGATCGGCAGTATGGTTTTGCCCGCATGACCGCCGATGACGGGAATTTCAACCGTGGCCGGATCAATGTTCATGTAGTCCGCAATGAATGTTTTGGCACGCACCACGTCCAGGCTTGTGACCCCGAACAGGCGATTCGGATCGAAGACACCTTTGGCCTTAAGAAATTCCGCCGCAATGGGCACTATGGTGTTTATCGGGTTCGTGATGAAGGCCAGCAGCGCCTCGGGGCAAGCCATGCCCACGGCACAGGACACGGCCATTGCCACGCCGGAGTTGGCGTCCTCCAGCTGATCCCGCGTCATGCCCGGCTGGCGGGGCAGCCCGGCTGGCACCACAACCACATGCGAATCGTGCAGCGAATCGATCAGCTCCTGCTGTTTGACACCATCGAAAAAGTCCACCTGCGTCGAGGTGCAGATGTGCGACAGGTCAGCGGCCACGCCCTTTATGTCGCCCACATCATGCAGCGTAAGTTCATCAATCAGCGGATTTTGCTTGAGCAGCATGGACAGCGGCTGCCCAATGCCGCCCCCCGCACCCACCACCGTCACCTTGTAGTTGCGCACGCCACGCCCATTCCAGTACCAGTTGCCGTTCCTCTGGACGACTGCGGAGCTGTTCTGTGCCTTGAGCATTACCTTTAAGCACGTGCAGGCGCATCCCAGCATCTTGTATTTATTTTGGCTATTAGAATTTACCTCTATCAAATTTTATGATTTTTGAACAATTTACAATTTCTTTCAGCTAAAAAATGAAAAGTGCTGCCAAATCTGTCATGTGTAATTAAGTATAAAACATCCAATGGAAACTCTGTCAACTAACAGAAGTCAACTGTAATTTTAATACCCTGTAAATACCCTATTAATACCCTGCATTTAATTAAGCCCAACCCCTTGCTGACCTTGCCACCAGATGGATATACTACAATATTCAATTTAGTAATATAATTTACCTGTTAAAGTCAGCAAAAATCGTAGAAATATCTGAGCAAAATAATAATAATAATAGCTTTTGTCTAAAGATATATGTATGTGTATCAAAAAATAGGCTCTCAATACTTTTAAAAGGAAACTTTAACAATATTAAAAGTATTTATTTTCAAACATATAATTTCATTAATTATACCCTAAATTATTTGTTATGAGTAAATGGGGTATAATGATTTTTCCCCAATGTTTGTAACAGGCAGAACCCATAAAGCGCCGGATTACGAGCTGAGTAGAACATATTTCAGTAATTATCGAAATTAAGACTTGATTCTTTAAGCAATACTCGAAAGTTATATAAACTAGAGTTAAGGGTATGTAGGCTATCGAATATACATATTAAATATATCTACTTTTTGGAAACCTCTTCCATTCTCCCAAATTGGAACAAATTAGTTTTAAAGCCACATTTATGCCCTGTAAATTCTTAACGATCGGACCATATGATCCGATGCTATACAAGAGTACAATTTCTAGAGCGTGAGGCAAACTGTGTGTGCAGGAGAAATAAAGAATGTTTGTAAAGGTTAAGTTATTTGTTTTACTTTTAAGATAAAGTTGATCTATTATATTGATGTATAAATTAATATAATAAAAGAAATCATTAGAATATTAAAGAAGAGGGTGTCTCGTAGTCGATCAATATTGGTAAATCCGAATTTTTGGTCATTCGCTTTGACTGTAATCGAGAGAGTCAACAGTCTTACCTTAATCGCAACATGGAAACGCGATCTATGGAACCGACCAATGCCCGATGTCGATGCTCCCGATCGGAGCCGAGACCGTAGCCGAAGCACTGCGTCAAGGCGTCGTGGGTGCGATCGATGTTTGGTGGTATAAAACGTTCGACGCTGTCAATGGCAACTTCCAGTTGCGGCCGGCTCTGCCATCAATTCGCATAGTAATTAAATAAAAAAAATTAATAAGCACAGATCAACTGTCAACGTCCTCATTAGAAGTGCGTTTAGTATTAACACGCCAACAGAATGGTTCAAGAAGTGAGTATATGACGAGTCAAAACGGCTGCCATCGACTGCGCGATACTCTACCGCGTGTTCGCAGTGTAATCACAGTCGGAAATTATATTCTTGCTGAGACTCTAAGACCCCAAGACTGTGACCTTTGAACATATCGCTCAGAACAAAGACTCTTAAACTGCGGTAGACAGAGATTGTGGCCAGCTGCTAAAAAATCCGAAATTTTTATCAAGCTAGATTCGAAATATAAACAAACAATATACCCCATTTTGTAAGCAATTAAAAAAAAAAAAGCATGGAAGTTCAAAAAATGTCTATAAAAATCAAAGATCGGTTCTACAAACTGAATAACATATATATCTATACACTATATTAAATAAATATTAACATATATACAATAAATTTAATTAAACCCTAAAAAATGTTAAAGGGAAGTCAAATCAGAGATTCCAGGCCCAAGTCATCTTGTTTGTGCTGGTTTGATGTTGTTGAAGATGGTTGATATTAATTGTCGAACTAACCAGAACCGGAAAGAAGCGCCTGACCTAACACTACATTTCATTAATCCCACCCGCAAATTCTAAATAGGGTCAATGGCAGCGCCATGCACAGAATTTCTAGCCGTGTCACATGATCGGTCGCCGCGTTCAGCTGACTTTTCCCTTAATTTTGTTTGCCGGCTAATGGATAATCAAGTGGTTGTCTCTGATTTTCAGAAATTCAACCATAAGTGGCAGCTGCTGCTGACGGCGCTGCTGCTGGTCGCGTGCCTCTCGATCTGCGTCCAGGGCCGACCGTCGCCGGACGCTGACGTTGGGCCTGGTGCTGCGGCACAGCTGCTGGTGGACCCCAGCGAATATCCCGGCAATCTGCCGCCGGAGACCATTCTGAAGGTGCAACAGTGCGAAAAGGACCAGACAACCATGGAGCTGTGCATGCGCTGCGCCAAGGTGACCAAATCGGAGATCATCTATCCCATGTGCTGCAACAACGACGATAGCGTCAAGGACTGGTGCCACGACTATGTGTATTATGGCGACGACGAGAGCTACTAGCTGCTGGCGAGGATGGCCCCAGATGAGGTCGTTGTCTCTTAGGATACTTACTTGCTGAAATCTAATAAAATTCCTTGTATCCTGCAAACACTGCGGGTCTATTGGCTGTGATATTTAAGGCAATATTAATGTTTATACTTACACAAAACTACTTATAACTAGAAATAAATAACCTTTGCGCTTTGAGCTGAACACGAAAAATAATCCGCTCCATTCTAGTCATCAGCTGTGAAACCACAAGCAATCTACTTGATCAGAAGTTGTCTATATCATTTCTATAGAAGGCCAAAATTCAATTTTAAACGAACTCTTCCTAATGTATCTTTAAGATACACGATACAACTCGGGATAATAATGAGGAACATAGTATTTGCTGAACCTTACGAAAATATCTTGGAAAACAGAAAATTGTGCCATACAAAAGGAATTCTTTCTGTAGAGCTTCATGTTACAGTAGGATGATCATATACAAGAAGCAAAACGAAAGAGTTTTTCTCATACGAACCAGATCGTTACTATAGCATCTATATGATATAGCCGCCCGATCCGGGATCTATACAACGTTTCATGACAATGGAAACAGAGAGACCTGTTTGACTCAGCTGTTGATACTGATCGAGAATATATATACTTTATGGGATCGAAAATGTCTCCCATTACATGACAAATCGTCAAGATTTTAGAAATCTTGCTCATTTTATGATCAAGAGTTTCTATGGCAACTTTATGATATAGTAGTCTGATCCGACTCATATCTAAAAAATCAAGTGAATGGGATGAGTGTTACTGAGCCTGGTAGAAATTGAACTAAATTTTTCCAGCTTCATTATTATAAGATATCTTATTAAATATATAAGTTTCGATCGATAGTTTCCTACTGCAATTATGATATGGCCTTCTTATGGACCACACAGGCAGGCAAAACTGTCCCAAGGCCTTACACAAATCTCGTGATACATTTTTGTTAATCTATAAATCATAAGATCTTTAATTGAATGTCACAGGTTTTATCTCGTGCTCGCTCTCACATGCTTTGGCTTGAGTAAATCCATTTTTGGTGGAGACCAATTCGAAATAAAATACACTTGGCAAAATCTTGTTTTTTTTTTTTAAATTTATTTTTGTAAACTTCTTTTGTGTTTAATATATATTTTTCGAAAACTTTATAATAATTACAAATGTAAGTATTCTTTAAATGAATGTTCAATTCGAATTGAATCGGTTTAGTTGATTGAGTTGCCTTTTAAAATAATTGTAGAAAACGCATAAATAAAAACTATTATATATGTATATCGATTGGGCAAAACATATAAAAACCCGATTTAGCTTAACGACAACTACTATATTACAGTTCATGCTGTTGCGGATTTAATATGGCAATCAATATTTGGAGCAAATGAAAAATGCACAATCCGTTCGAACGGCTTTTTAAACGGCCGGCCCGACTTGATCGAACTTGCACTAGTTTACAACACCACGTGATTTGTAACTGTACGATATAAATGTATATAACAAAAACAATGTTTCAACAAGAAACTATATACATATTTTTTTAGTCACTCGATCGATCGATCTGCGAACTCGAACTCGAACTCGATCTCCTAGCTTCTTTGTTCATTTCAATCAAACAATTATTCAGTCTTTTTTGTTTGATACTTTTTGTTGTTGTTGTTAGTTGTTGTTGTTTTTGTTGTTGTAGTAGTTGTTGTGGTTGTTGTTGTTGTTGTCTCTCGTTGACTGAAAGCAACATTTAAATATAAAGTCGCGTGAAGAGTTCAACTTACCAGAATTCAAGCACGCTATTTAAGAATGTTATTGGGTTATTTAGTTTTTATACAAAAATGTTGTCACTGCCTTAACGCGCTGGCAGCGACGGCAGAGTTGACTGCACGATTTAAATGCAGATAGGAACAGTCGGAGTCTTCGCAGCGACCCATCAGCTCAAAGGGACACACGGTGGCATTGACATTCGGCTGGCTGCAATTAGTACAACAGGCAAACAAATGCATTTGGATGGCGGCAACTGCACGGAGATTCACACACACACACACCTGTTGTAGTTGCGGGACAACGGGGTGCGGTACGCGCCAAGCAGCGACTTTTCAACGGGCGGATCGCACAGTTGCCGCATAAAGCTGACGGTGTAGGGCGGCGCCTTTTGGACTTCATTGGCATCCGGTGCTAGATTCCGTGGCGTGATCTGCAAGTAAACTCAACCAGTTTGTTAGTACGGGTTAGCACAGTTAGCGGGATACAATCAGCGGTAGATGAGACATGTTCTTAGAATTAGTTGGAAGCTATAGGAGAATATCATAAATCCACGCACATCAAATTCCAGCTGTGTCTTTACAGTCCCTGCCTCTTCTCCTGCGACTGCTACAGGTACCGCTTCTTCTGCTGCTGCTGCTGCTACGGTTACTGCTGCTGCTGAGGTATTGCATTCACTTGGCTGTTGCTGGGGCTGTTGCTCCGTCTCTATCTCCGGCTCGCTGCTCTGTCTTCCATCAGCAGACTGATGGCTATTACCGTTGCTAGAGGAAATGGGCTGCTCGCTCGGCTCCCGACTAGTTTCATGCTTAGGTTCAGGTACTGAATGTGGCTCTGGGTCTGCTTTTGACTCGGACTGTGTTAGTTCCTTACGTGCAGACACATCGGCCTGCACCAAAACATCCTCATATTTGAGAATCGAATTGTAGGAACGTATCTCTTTGGTTAGCTCCGTAGACTTGCGCGATATTTCCGCCTTAGCCGGATCCAGCAACCTGCAAAAAACACCAGCTATAGTATAACTGCAATGCATGTGAATGCCGCGTCCAGTTTGGCACATTCCGGCGCTCCCACGATAATTGTTGGCCCCTTTGCGTTGTGGTCCACAGCAACCTGCTACCGCTGTTGCTGCTATAGTTGTTGTTGTTGTAGTACCTGTAGTCAGCGCCCTGAAGGCCATTGCCCAGATCCAGAGCAGCGTTTTGAAGTTTGTTGCGCTTCTGCTTGAGCGATATGATAATCTCATGGCTGGCCTGTATCTCAGACTGTATGCGCGCCAGCTTCGACTCCTCCAGCTTGACCGCCTGCTTAACGGCCTGCATCTCGGCATAGAGGTCCTTCAAGCGGTTCGAGTAACGCAGCCGTGCGATCTTTGATTTCTTCGCCTCCTCCACCATATGCAGCGACTTGTCCAGATTGGCTATCATGCTGCCGCTGTCATGAGGCACAGAATATTAGAAATTTTACAATGTCCCGTCTGTATATGCATAAATACCCGATTTTGAGAAATGAACTCTCGAATGCTTTGAGTCGACTCTCCTTCGTTGGCTGCGAAGCCTTGGCTGCCGCCGTCGATGTGCTTGGAAAATCGCTGGCAGTGTTTGTGTCCGTAGCAGTAGCCACTGGATCATTAGGAGCTGCTGCTTGCTTTGCACCTTTGGGCCCTGCCCTGACTGTCACTTTCTTGAGAGGTTTGCTGCCTGCTGTGCTTGTTTTTGTCTTGGCTACCAAAGCGGCACCCACTGAAATCTCTTGTTTACCGACTGTGACTGCGACTGCGGCTGGAACCTCTTTTGCAGCAGCTGTCGTTTGGATGTTGACCGCCCTCACTCCAACTCCCACTTTCTTCTTCTCCAGCAGCTGCATGCGCTCGATTAGACGGAGGTATTCCCTTTGCGATGCTACCGGCAAGTGTCGCACAGCCTGGCCAGAAGTTAAAGTGTAATTAGTCTACTACTATAAAGAATCAGCTTTATTTATAAACCACACTTCCCACTAAAACTTTCAGTCATGGCTACTTTAACAACTTAAAATACATATCCTACGTCTGTCTTTTCCTAGTCTGCGATTCCAACATTCGACTTTTTAGTTATTTAGTTATTAGACAACATGATTGTTGGGAATCATCTAGTCGGAAGTTATTTCAGCATTTTGATGGTATCCAAAATGTGATAAGAAAGTTCGGGACGAACTTCAGACATTCTGTTTTTACCACATTTCAAAGCTTAATTAAAACCACCATACTTAGCGGCTAAGGAAGAAAACTAGACTCTTTTTATATACTAAATAGCTAGGTGAAGGGAGGAGGTCAGGGAGATTCCTCCCAGTCGAGAGCAAAAAACTTTCCTAAAATATATGAATATGTTCCATAGATTTCTACACCCCATCAACATTTGTGGGTCTATGGGAATATAGGACTTGAAAGTTCGAATCTTATCCGCGCTCAAATAGATGAGTTGTTTTCCAAGGAGTCAAGATCAAACAGAGGAGAATTCGATTACATACCACTGGCGTTGGCTTGGCCTTTTGTGGAGTCACAGCAGGTTTTTCAGCGGCTTTGGGCGGTTGTTCGGAAGACTTTTCCGTCTTTGGCGCTGGTTTGGTGTTTTCCGCTGGTATAACTGTGGGCACCTTGGAGCGCGCCTGCTTCAGGAAATCGTCCAGTTTCTTCTCAAAATACTCGTTTATGACAGTGCGTCGCAAATTGGGATTGCTGGACGACGCTGATTCCAGGATCTCGGAGTTGGGCGTATTGGAGCGAGTCGTCGAGTTGCTGGCACTGTCCATTGCCTGGCTGAAGGGACTAGCGTTGTCGGCATAGCTTGCGTAGCTGTTGTAGGCGTAACAGCTTCTCAGCTCCAGCTCATCGTCGCTGCCAGCCGAGGACTCGGCCAGGGCGATGACCAGCTTGTTCACTTTGATGCTAGACGGATCGAGTGTGGTTATCAGTCTTGTTGAGCTGCTGCCGTTCTGGCTGTGAAGCGGAGCCACTGACTCCTTGACCAGGAGCGTCGTTGGACGCTTTGCAGCCGTCGCTAGTTCCGCCAGCTTCGATATCTTGCGCTTGGGCGCTGTCTTCTTGTTGATTACCTTGTTGGGCTTCACGATTTTGATGATGTTCGTCGATGTCGATGCGACGGTGGGTGTCGGCGCAGCTGAAACTTCCACTGGTATTTGTGGCGGAGGGACAGGCAAAGGCACGGGCAAGGGCACGGGCAAGGGCAAGGGCAAGGGCACGGTCACCGTCACAGGCAGGGGTAAAGGCACGGGCACCATTACAGGCGGGGACAAGGGCAAAGGCACAGGCACAGGTTCCGGTTTAGACAGAGGCGCAGATGGTGGCTGAGGCAACGCCACATGCTGCAGATTGACTTCCGTTTGTTGAGCTGGCTCCAATGGCACATCATGTTGTGTTT